TTATTTTTATTTTTTCAATCCTGACGCATTCATAATCATTACTTCTGCTGGTGCACTGTGGCAAGCTTTATGTGTGCGCTTGAGCGCTGATAGGCTACAGGCAATTACTATGAATTACATGGTTTATTAATATAAACGTGCGATAAGTCGACTAATAGTTTCAATAATAGTAGTCAATCAGAAAAATCTTTAGTTGAGGCCAGAACTAGCGTTCAGCAAAATCAAATTAAATCAAATCAAATTAAATTAAATCAAAAAATCAAATCAAAACAGGTTATTGGATTTTACAAGAAAATACTACTTTAGTCTTTCCACTTAAATTTTTCACATTTAATTCAATGTGTTACTTGTCATTTCTTTTGTAATTATTTGTGAAATTTACTAGCAATAAATGAAACAACAGTCCTGCAACATTTTTTTTTTTTTTCAGTGTACTAATACACCAACATTTGCATCAAAACTAAAGCACAATTTGGGCTTAAAGACTGTCTAAGTTAATATGCTACCTATTAGGGCAGTAGACAGCAAGGCAGCTCACTAGGTTTTGGAAGGTAGCTTTATTATTTGTGAAATTTACTAGCAATAAATGAAACAACAGTCCTGCAACATTTTTTTTTTTTTTTCAGTGTACTAATACACCAACATTTGCATCAAAACTAAAGCACAATTTGGGCTTAAAGACTGTCTCAGTTAATATGCTACCTATTAAGGCAGTAGACAGCAAGGCAGCTCACTAGGTTTTGGAAGGTAGCTTTTCTACAGGTGATTATTTTCGCACAAAGCTGCAAATTGTGTTTGTGCAATCGCAAACACACACTCCCCGAACCTTCACTTTGATCTTTTTTTTTTAGCTGAATCACAGAAAACTGAAAGGGTTGCGACTTTGTTCGTCAGTCCAAAAAAAATATCCAAGAGATGGACGATGTGGGTGCACACTGATGGGAGATATGCTGACTGTTGGTCTGAATGTCCTGACAAGTAGCACCCTTCTAACCTGTGCTTAGGTTATATCCCCGTCAGCTAAAGTTAATGTTGAACTGCATCCAAAACGATGCTGAATAAATGTTTATCACCATCATCGTGACAGGAGTTTGTTAGCATGACACCGGTACTCCGCATGTAGGCAGTTTGGAAAACTCCTTTGTAGAAATGTCGATTGCTATGTCCTTAAAATATGGTAATTTATACAATAATCAGAGGTTTATATGCATTGCTCGTCTTCTAATCCATATGCCTGTACAGTAAATCATGCATAAATTCAAAAAGACATGCAAAGTATAACCCCACACATGAACCAACACACGCACAGAGTGCTGAATCATCATTTTGTGTCACCAAATGAAAGCATCTTCTGTTGAGGAGGCCTGATGGGTTTGCTAATAATGAAACGATGCTCAGAAGATAAAGTTCATGAAGCTCAGTGTTGGCATGACCACAGCAAGCTGGAAAATACAGCCACAGTATTGTCTTTTTTTTACGTAATTAGTGTGAAACGGCTCATTGCCTCAATCACTTCTTATGTAATGCAGGAATTTCCACAATTATTCAAAGGTGATATTTGATTATGCTCCTCGGTTATCAAAGAGCAAACAACAAAATTATATTTTCTGAAACTGAAGCTGGCACTGCACCTTAAAAAAAAAGGTTCAGCCCATTTTCCTTAGTGTACCTTCTTTCCACTGCACAAGACTGCACCCTAGTGGTTAGCAAAAGTGGCTGCATAAAGATCAGCTACAGTACTCTGTTTCAGCATCATAACGATGTAGAGCTCCATGTCTGTCGGATGAAGGATGAATCACTGAGATGGTCATATAACTCCACTGGCAGGCGTATGAAATAATATCGTAAGAGACAACGGATGAAGATGAAGAAAAAAACAAAACAATCTATTTGAAATAGTCAAAAGGATTGTAATCAGGTGACGGTGAGCAACAATAGTTTGCTATTTTCCAAACTCCTTTCCCACATATTCTACCTTTGTTTCCTATTGTCAGTGTTGTTTGGCAACAAGACATATTTTTATGGCTAAACCTCAGCTGCTCCAGAACGTTCTCCACTGACACGAAAGTCTGTCAGGCCCGTTGTTACGACGTTATCAGATGATTTGATGTTTGTTTCCCCGCACTGACAATATCTCTATTAGAGTGTCGGTTGAGAAACAAAAACCAAGCTAAAAAAAACATCTCCTGACTGACGAGCAATGGACAGATGCCCAGAGAAAAACACTGGCAACAAACAAGCCCTACTACTGGCAGAGATAACGCGGGGTAAAAAAATGAAGGATGGAAAAGTCTGGCTGCCTCACAACAGAGAAGAAAAAACAGCAAAAGTCGATCATCACGCCAGTTCCTATTTTATGTTCTGGCAGCAGAGCTGATAAACCCTTTAGATGCAAACAAACCTCTCTAACTAACGCCCTACTAAAAGGCCCGCTGAACTGAAATGCATGCATTTTACAAAAGTTTAAATAATATCAATAATTCAGTGACATCTGCTGTTTGTGAGGAGAATGACCCCTGGCGGTGACGCTCCGTGAGTGTAAAATGAGTTCAGGGAGAGAAATGAGCATGGCTAATTTACCGCTGAGCTGATGGGATAGACTGAAAGGAAAATAATAAAGCTGGCTGTGAATGTGCGAGTGTGTGCGTCAGCCTGACCCTGTGTGCTCACTTAATAAATCCATTTATCTATCAAACTATCAACACAACCATCCATTTAAAAGAACAATGTAGACATTTTTTTTCCCCACAGTAGATACACATTTTTATTTATTTTATTATTTTTTAAAATTTTTGAATAATTTAATATTCATTCTATT